GTCGCCTTCGCCCCTGGCCTTCGCAATTTTTTTTGCATTCCTCCATGCGCGTGCCCTTCGTCCCTGGGCCCTTCTGGAAAGCCTCCAGTCTCCAGACCAAGCCCATGACGCGCAACCCTGGACTATCATGTAGTCAGGACCCAGCATCAGCATCCTAGGTTCTAGCTCTGCTGGTCTGCCCTGTTGACTGCACATGGCCTGGAGCTGCGCCATAAAAGCAGATACACACTACGAATGCAAACAAGGAAGGGCAGACATCAGAATGCAAAAGCCAAATACAAAAAAAAGGCAAGCGAAATCAGAAAGCAAAAAAAATGCAAAACCAGAATGCAAAAAAAAGGCAAGCGACATCAGAAAGCTAAACAAATGCAAAACCAGAATGCAAAAATAACGCAATCGAAATCAGAAGGCACAATAAATGCAAAATCCAAATGCAAAAACAATGCAACCAAAACGCAACCAGAATGCAAAATAAATATTTCCTTGATTTCCAATGCCTGGCTGGGCAAAATTCTTATAATATTATAGTTACTACTGTTTTGGGTTAGGGAACACAGAAAGCTGAGGCCCCCCGACTTGAACCTGACCATCCCATTTTTGGGAAACTACCCTCTGGAAAGAAAACCTGGAATCCAGTCCCAGAAGATCTACGCACACGCTCCCACCGAAACCCTACGGCTGAGCCGTAAAGCCTAAGCCTTCAGCTCAATCCCTAAACCTTAAGCCTTAATAACCCTAAAGCCCCAAAACCCTATGGGAGCGCAAGCCTGGACACAGGTTGGTGCCATGGATGCGGCTACAGAGGAGTGGCCCAGGGCCCTGGTGTGGGGTGAGGGGATGAATCTAAGGGTTTCAGAACACCGCAGGAATATATTTGGGGGTTATGATGAGGTTATGGGAGTCTCTCTTCTTGGATGGTACAGGGGCGGAAGAATGATTTTGGGAAACCCCCATGTGCGCCATAGTCTAAACTCCTGGCAATGGGTTATATAGCAGATTATGTAGGGGAGTATACTAAGGCTCATAAAGTGGGCTACCAGGAGTTTAGACTATAGCTCATATGGGATGGTGGGTCCAGCCTCCGAAGGTTCCACACACTTGGCTCCTGCAATAAGAGCGTTGCTGCCTACACATGTCCCTACTCGGAGAGGCCTGACTCCTAAACCCCCCCCAAAAAAAACCTTAAACCCTAAACCCTTGAATGGCCTGGGGCTTCGCGCTGCACTGGTTTCAACCCTTTGGGGGATTGCATCTCGTGGGCCTGAGGGCTTTTCCCAAACAATCCTGGCATGTGATCAGATCAAGGGTTTCCCTTTAAAGGGATACATAGGGTTATATTGGGGTTATTGGAGGGATAATGGAAAAGAAATTCGAAACTACTACTTAGGGTTTAGGATTTAGGGTTTAGGGTTTATAGTCCCCCTTACGTAGATACAATATGGGGTATATTGGGGTTATATTGGGATGATGGAAAAGAAAATGGAAGCTACTGTTTAGGGTTTAGGGTTTAGGGTCCCACTTAAGTAGATAGAATATGGGGTATATGGAGATCTTATCATGATATACCCAAAGCCATATTCTATCTACTTAAGGTGGACTATGGTGCAAGAGCTTTGCAAGCCCTTCACATCTTGTAGCTCTGCAAGTCATTCAGCTTCTGACCCGAGACCCGACCTCAAGTGCGAAGGATCCCTCAGAGGGGTCCATAGCAAGAGAAGCGGTCAAACACACATTTCTTAGGAGGACCCTCCGCCTTGTAATAGTGGTATAAAGGGACATAATAGGAACCCAATATCATCATTTATCCCTGATAGTCACTATTACAGGGTGTAGGGTGCACCTAGCACATTCCCATTTTCCGAGGAGGGCACTACGCCTGACACCCGTTCCCCAAAGCTCAATAGAATAGCCTTCTGCCTTCAGCCGCAAAGCCAGAACCAATGTGGGTAATACCCGCCATTTGAGGGGCCCCCCAAAAGGGACCCTTAATTTTGAAAAGCCCTAAACCTTAAACTCCTAATTTTCAACTGAGGCTGTCGTCGCTTCCTAGTTGGTTTTGGCGCGGGGTGATCCTGGTCCTCTGCATGCTGTGGGCCACCAACTTCGCCGTGATCAAGGACATCAAGATTTAGGGTTGAGGGCTCGGAATAAGGACATTACGTAGGAGTTATGTAAGGGGTAAATAGGGTTCGGGTATGTAGACCCAATAACGGAGAATCGCATGGGAACAACATGGGACATGAAATGGAAACTGGGCTGATAGGGGACAAGGGTTTCCGGAAATGGGGGGCCCTTCTTTGGGGTCGCCAATGGGTACATTGTCAAATCGTTTTGGGTGTACATTTAATGGCTACCGCCAGTGCCGC